TGCAACGCTCCAGCAACATTCGAGCGCATGATAGATACCGTCTTACGTGGTCTCAAATGGAAAACCTTTTTATTTTATTTAGACGACATCGTCATTTATTCAACTACTTTTTCTCAGCACCTTAAGCGATTGGGCGAAGTTCTAACGTGCATTTCGAACGCTGGCCTACAGCTCAATACAAAAAAGTGCCACTTCGCCAGCACAAGCATCAAAGTATTGGGTCACCTTGTGAGCAAAGACGGCGTTCGACCCGACCCCGACAAGGTTGCTGCCGTAATTAGTTTTCCACGGCTACGCAAACAAAAACAATTGCGCAGTTTCATGGGCCTGGCGTCTTACTTCCGCCGCTTCATCGGTCACTTTGCTGCCATTGCGGGGCCGTTACACAAGCTTCTGACGTCAGGGACGGATTTCACGTGGACTGACGAGTGCGAGTGTGCTTTCCAAGCCCTTAAGCGTGCTTTGACATCAGACCCGTCCTCCGTCACTTCGATGAGAGTGCACCCACTTTCCTGCACACAGATGCCAGTGGCCACGGAATCGGTGCTGTCCTCCTCCAGCGCAACGACACTTCACGTGAGAGAGTAGTTGCGTATACCAGCCGCGCACTAACACCTGCAGAGCAGAACTACTCGATAACAGAGCAGGAATGTCTCGCTGTCGTTTGGACCATCCAGAAATTTCGACCTTATCTGTATGGACGACACTTCACTGTGGTTACCGACCACCATGCCCTATGCTGGTTGTCCTCGCTGAAGAATTTGTCTGGGCGCCTCGGTCGCTGGATACTGCGTTTGCAAGAGTACACTTTTGACGTTGTGTACAGATCCGGCAAACAGCATCAGGATGCTGACGCTCTCTCTCGCTGCCCTCTGCCACTTTCACCTCCAACCACGCATCCTGAATGCCCCTCAGGTGATCAAGCGGCTTCCTCTTCACTCACGTTATCACCCCTGGCAGTTGCTGGGTCGCTACCTTTAAACAACAGCGCCCAGTTTGCCGCGTACCAACGTGACGACCCCTACTGTAACCGCATCATCGGATACTTGAATGGCTCGCCTTCTCCACCTAATGCCAGACTACGTCGTCAGCTACGGCTGTTCAAGCTAGAGAACAATGTCCTGCAGCACTATACTTACAATGCGGATGGGCATCGATGGGTGCCAGTACTTCCCCGTTCGCTACGAAAACAAGTTCTCGAAGCATTGCACGAAGAACCATCAGCTGGACACTTGGGATTTCAAAAGACCTACAACCGCGTTAGGAGCCGTTTCTTCTGGCCTGGTCTTTCTACCTTTGTGGCTAATTATATCGCTTCTTGCGCACTTTGTTGACACCGGAAACGACCAACTTCAGCTCCTGCTGGCTTATTACAACCCATTCCATGTCCCGACACACCTTTTGCCGTTGTCGGAATAGACCTCGTCGGGCCACTTCCCGTAACGCCAGCGGGCCACCGCTGGATCGTCACAGCCGTCGAACACCTCACACGATACGCGGAGACCGCTCCTCTACGCACTAGCTCCGCCTCATACGTTGCCGCCTTTTTTTTAGAAGCCATTGTGTTGCGTCATGGTGCACCTCGCACGTTGTTAAGTGACCGAGGAAAGGCCTTCATACCGTGCCTCCGAGATAGTCCACGTTTCACGTCTTAAACCCTTTGTGCGCCGTACCTTTCCCGCCTAAGTCTCGGCCGGGCCGGCCGCTCAAGTGCGCGGGCAAAATAAGTGTGAGCATTATTTATGCGTCCCATCTTTTCATCTGTACATACTCATCATCACCAGTCAAGTTTAGGTTGTGGGGCTCTTACTCGGGTCAATAAAGGAGAGTCTTGAGTGTACTGGACGCCATCTTACAATATATATATATATTGTTACGCACAAGGAGGACCAGGACCTCTCTCTCTTTCTCTCTCTTTCTATATATAGAAAGAGAGAGGAAGTGAAAAGGCAGCCTGAAAAATAAATCAGAAGAAAAATGCAAAGGCACCTCCCGGGTGCCTTCAACCTGCCGGAGTTTAAAGCAAGCTACCCATTACACAAAATGCAGCCGTATGCGAAAGACACACCGACCCATAGCCACTTTCAAATTTATTAATTACGGTGTAGTAATCCACAACTAAAAATTCTCAAGTAACAACATACAATAAAAAAGTATGCAATAAATGGTTGAATTACGCACTAGGGACAGGAAGGGTATCACGGTCGCGCTGAGCCCTTAAAAAGCAAGCTTAAGGATGCCCCAATTTTTTTTTTCGATCCCGTGTACAGTGTATGTACCGTGCTTCTGGGAGCATACGGGTAACACGATGAACAAGAACACTCATATTATTCTTATTTTTATTCCCATATAAAATGGTCATTGCTTAATTGTTGTTTATAACAAAGTGACCGATTCATCTCTCATCCTTTTCATTGATTCAAAAACTCCCCTTTGATATCTCAAGCCTGTTTTATGGTCGATCCCCCGTAGTGAGTAGGTGCCAAGAATCAAGAAACAAGAAAGCAAGCAAGGTTTTAAGAATAAGTTCCTTTCATTATTTAGATAATTATATGCATTAGATCAAGCAACACAATTTCCTAGGTCAGTGGTAATCTTTCTATTATATGATCTCAATTATTCTAAAACATCACAATATTTTGTAAAACCACCTAATTCTTGGTCCATCCCTCACAGTGGGTATGCACCACAGACAATAGGTGAACAAGAACAACACGAGTGAGCTACGCCATGGGATCTCCGACCCCACGCGATGAGCTCATCAACCGGCTGGTGGACCGGCGACCAGCCTGCGCCTCGCACAACATGTATCGCTCGGGCGACTACGACTTCATCATCCTGCTCGCCTTCCTGGCCGCGGTGGTCGTGGTCTTCGTGCTCTTCTTCCAGTACGACTTCGGCCAGAGGCTGCGCCAACGCGTGGGGACGAAGCAGCCGGCGTTCACCTTCACCTACCGCGGCGGCATTGCCAGCACCAGCCCGTCCGACCACCACGCCGCCAAGCCCGGTGCGCTAAGGGAAGTGTCGACCTTGTCGGAAGAACCTCATCCTGAGGTCACGATGCCCAAGAAGCGCGACAGTGAGTGCACGCATAGCCATTTGAATTTGAAGTCATTTCGAGCTTATTGGTTACCCCAGATAATTTCACAATGAATTGTTCGGACAGGGCGAAAAAGTTGCATGAAACATCTTGACACCGTCACAGGTCCGCAGGTTCACTGTGGCAACTAGACTGCACAAGCAAAATAAATTTCAAGAAAGTTCAAACACGCAATGCACATGTTGTGCATCGGAGCAAAAAAGTTATACAATGAGAGAAATATTATTACGGACGCAATTCACATATCATATTTAATATCGAACTCCTAGAGAGACTACGTACAATTCTGCGTTGTCCCCAGCTGGGATAACCTCCAAACTACCATTGAGCTGTGGCAAGTCCTATACCCCGACAGTGGAAAACTCCCATGGGACGCGCTCTCCATTTAAAAAAAGGGGGGGGGTCTACTTCAACATCTCTCCCCCATCCCTTATCCTGGGTCCGAAAGAAAGCAAGCTTGGCAATGTATTCAAAATTAAAATGGGACGATGACGTACTTCTCCCAATGGCCAGCCTTTGGTTTCCAATTTTCGAGGTGTAAAACCAGGGTGTAAGCAGTTCTTGGAACGAAACATCAGGGGTCTTTGGCCATCATTGCGATGAAAAGAATAACCTTCATGACCATTTCTTGCACTTGAAACAAGGCCGGAACGGGTACTACAAAGGTATAGGGCAGAAGATTATTGGAGAAGGGGGGGAGGTTTGCATCCGCCCCTGCTACGACTCCCGCTGCGTGTACGCCTATGAGTACATGGGATGCGTTTAAGTACGCGTGACGTGTGTCCCATGTACATAAACCATAAACCACGCGCCGGAGCCACTCAAAGGGCGTCCCAGGAAGGGAGCACCATCTGTAGAGGGATTCCGATATGATTCTTGCGGTCACAATCGCCGGAGGGTAAATAAATAAATAAATAAATAAATAAATAAATAAATATAAAACATTCCCAGGAGAAAGCCCTCTTCGTCTTCTCTTTATCTCAGGCGACTCAATTCTAGCTATCGTTTCAGGAAGCATGCTGTTTCCTATATGATTCTACACTGCCTCCAGATTCGCTTTTAAACAGCGCAAAACGAGACAGAATGCCAAAGGAGACAAACTGTGGTAATTTGGAGACGTGGGCGTGTTGAAAGCGATTGATACTATTGAAGATCAGTGTGAAACACGACGGAAACGTGAGACGAAGACGGTGCCGAAGGAGCGCTGATAACTCCGCTCGTACCGCGCCCTTCTCTTATTGCGTCTCTGTCGTGTCCGCGCTCATTTTTTCAAGTGCTTCGGGAGGCACAAGGGTACGAAGCTCTATCTTCTGTTTCTGCGCTCTTCGGTTCTGCGCAGAAACAAGCATCTGTTTTCGTACCTCACAGGGTTACAGAGGGTCCCCGGGACGGGCCCACCTATGACCGCGCGATGATGCCATGTGATGACGTCATCACGTAACGTCACCTTATTAGTCGAAACATGGTCCTGCCCGGATTACGCTGCGAATTTTGGCAATCTCTATGACGTCATATGGTGATGTCACAGTGTCTAGTATGGGGACATCAGGTTATTTCGTTTAATGGCTCGTGTGGAACGCGACGCGTGTGTGCCGATAAGTGTTGGCGCGCAGTTATCGCGTCTAAGCCAAAATGCGCTGTCTTATCTTCTGTATCTGTGCTCACGGAAGCCACTGGGTTGTGACGTCGGTGAGCTTAGAAATACGAGTGGAAATAAATGCCGCGAGGGCTTTTCGATTTGTGCCTCCCGGGAATGGAGTATCACCGGGGTGATCTTCGATTGTGGACGGGCGTTGGTCGCTGGGTTACAGCCGCCCGCACCAACACGACATGGTGTCAGAAAGTTAATGAGTCGAGTAACTCGTGTAGGGAAACGAGACGTCGTCAAAAGGTAAGTGCCATGGCTTCTGCAACGCGTGGCGTGTTGCAGCCACCACAGCTGCACTTAGACAACGTATCAGTGTGGCTCGCGAAGATACAGACGTTCGACGATTATCACTTCGCGTCGGTCCTGAACGAGCACTCGGAGGCACAGGTGCGTGCCCTGCTTTGTAGCATAGGTTGACAAGCACGGGACGTTTTTTGAGCGTTCAACTTTTAGGAAGACGATGCGAAGAAGCTTGACGTCGTCAACAAGAGGTTTGGCGTCGTTAAAAAGGGGTTTGACGAGTACTTCATCAACGACCGCTTCATCAAGGAGTACTTCGTGAAGAACTGGTGTATGAGAGCACTCGCTTCCACAGAAGAGAGCAGGTGGCCGGAGAAACCGTCGACTGGCACTTCATGACAGCGCTACATATTATGGTAAACCAGTGCGACTTCGGACTGCAAGGACCGCATCGTGAAAGACCGGTTCGTTGTTGGTCTTCGAGACAGAGGAGAAGCTATTTCATGGTGTGGAAGGCGCCGGCAACGCATACTTGTTCCAGGTGTGCGGCAAGGTGGGAGTTAATACCATCGGGCATCAGACGAACCAGCAGAGAATAGTCTCTAGAAATCAAGGTTCACGCTGCAACTTTTGCGGGAGCCGCGGCTATGTCAGGACTGCCTGCCCAGGAGTTGTGGCACAGGAGTGCCACAACTGCGGCATCAAGTGACATTTAAAAAAATGTGTCTCAAGAAGACTTCACAAAGAAGACCGGTACAGATCTCTCCAGTACACATGGACACCTGTGAGGTTTCTTTTTTTTGGGCGGTAGGAGGGGCACTGTCAATGCATTTAGCGCGAGGTCGCGATTTGCCATCGTAAGAGGTAATGACGTGCCAGTTTTTGCCAAAGTAAATACAGGTGTCGAAGTTTCGGTAGCACCCCAGTGTTTTCCAGTTTACCCACCGAACTAAACAAGGCAGACAAGGTACTCACGGGAGCCAGTGGTGCCCACCATAATGTTTTTGGCAAGTACGAGGCAGACGTTCAGTGGAAAAGAAAAACTTCTCGCCAGGTGTTCTATGTTGTTAGTGCTTTGCGCAACGCTCTGCTCAGTTTGCCTGCTCTCGAAAGAACAGGCCTAGTCAAGTTTAAGGAGCCTGTTGGTAAACAGAATAATTATGAGGCTTTCCTCTCACGAGCTTTTAGCAGTCAGATTGTCATAAGCAGAGTCGAAGGCCCCACCGAATGGTGCACCGGTATCGTGCTGGTCGTAACAGTGGCTCCGAAGAAGTTAGGCTGTGCGTCGACTTGTTGCAGCTGAACAAGTCTGTTTGGAGGGAAAGGTTTTCGCTACCGACTGTTGATCAAGCGTTTGGCTCATTGGCGGTGGCTAAGTAGTTCTCAGAACAAGACGCGAATTCGGACTTTCACCTGGTTCGCCTAGTGAAGGACTGGAAGGAATTAACCACATTTATAACCTATTTTGGGCGCTATTTTTCCGTGAGGCTGCCTTTTAGAATTACTTCAGCGCCGGAAAACTCTCAAAAGTACATGACCGAAATATTGCTGGGCCTAAATGACGTAGTAAACCTAATGGACGGCATCGTTGTCTCTGGTGGCAGTGAAGAGCAGCACGACGCGAGGCTCGCACATGTTCTTGCTAGATTGGTTGAAAATGTCCGCTTAAACAAAGCAAGGTGCCTTCGGGGTGACTTAATTCTCCTTCTTAGGTCATCTCCTGAGCATAGACGGAGTAAAACTGGACCCTGCAAAAATTGAGGCCGTAAAAAACCAGAGCGCCTCCACAAAGTAACCTACTCACGTGGTGTTTTGGGCATGGTCAACCTTTCCGGAAGATTTTTTTCCCAACTTGGTGCACATAATGGTCCTCCTAAGTTGAATTCAACCGAATAAGTTTGGGGCCCCGCACGGAACATATCCTTCGAGAACCTGAAGAACCTAAGCTGTTCAGCTAAATGTATGGTATTGTGCGACCCTAGACTACCAACGATTTTTTTCAGCAGACGTCTAGTCTTACAGGATCAGTGCTGTCCTTTTCCAGACGCAGCTTAATGGTTAACGAAGACCGGTAGCGTTTGCCTCTCAAGTGATCACGAAAACTGAGCAGCGTTACGCTCTTCGAGATTTGCATGGGAGTTAGTAGGGGTAGATCTTTGCTTGTTTAAGGTGGTCACTATCTTATTAAGGTAGATGATCGCTTCCGCTATCCGGAACTACCATTGCTTCCTTCTATCTATACAGCTGCCGTTATCAAGAGTACAAAAAGTATTTTCGCGCGCCATGGCACCCTGGAAAGAGTGGTGACAGATAATGGCCAACAGTTTTCATGTGTCCAATTCGGCCGATTTGGCGATCACTACTGTTTTGGTAACATCACCGTAAGCCGTAATAAAAGTAAGCCGTGTGATTTTGCTCTGCAAAAGTATCAATAAGTTTACACTCCCTGGTCAATTGCAAGTCGGCACAGACATAAGTCTTCATATTTCATAACTTTCGGACGTTCGTCCACACAGCTCATAAGTCTTCGATATACCCTTCCAGTTCCTGAACAGCCAATGACGCTCGCGCGGGCAGAAGAGGTGCTGACAATGATGGCGCCGGTTGCGACCGAGCGGACATTGGGCAGCTGTGACGTGCTGGACTGTCGAGAAATGACCGAGGAACTACGCGCCACCCTGGACGACCGAGTTAGCCCATGCAGCGACTTCTACCAGCACGTGTGCGGAAAGTGGGTCTTAAACCACACGCCCGAGCTCGGTGAGCGTCTGCTTGTGTTAAAGCAGATTTGTTCAGCGCAAGTTGTTCGGGCTTACAGCCTGCAGTGCTCTTCGCCAAACAGAGGCTATGGGTTTTCGCGGGGGACCACTTTCCGTCTCTTTCTGAGTAGGGTATACGCTGATCTACAGCTATACTTAAAGGAGACTCAATACAAAATTCTCAAAGCATAGCACTACTTGGCAAGTCTGTCCGAAATTTCTCTCTGGGCGTGGTTGAAATATCATGTGAACCTCTCGCACAATACCAAAAGTAATTGTACTGCCCAACATATGTACCTGTTAAACAACTTTTCCTGTAGTCTTTTTCTGTTTCTCTCAACTTTTATTCATTAGAATTCGAGGATCGTGTGTTGTGGGCCTAGTGGGTCGGGTGATATTATGGGAACTTAAATCGCGCTCGGTACGGACGCAGACTACCAGACAAAACTTAGTCCAACACTGCTAACTGGTAAATGTTCTTAACGCGGTTTCAGTGTTCAAAGACGTTGGTGTGCATTCGCCCTGTCTACTCATTTTGTGGTATCACTTGCAGGGGTCCCCGTAGTAACCACAGGAAATTAATTGCCCTAAAAAATTCACCAACGATTACAACACTGTCTAGACCGAATTATGATGTCAGCTGTTTAGCTGTTGTGATGTTGCGATAAGTGGAGGCAAACGCTCCCGCTCCGGCGGCGCGCCCCTCTTGATTCCGGCGTCGGCGGCGATAATACTCTGCTTACGCAGCTCAGTTAAAGGCAGCGGCAGACTGTGCACTTCTGCCGATTGCGTCGTTCATTGTTCAGGGAGTACTGGCTGAGACTATTTTGTATATAGGAACACGATTGCTTCAAAACAAACTCTGTGTCTAGCGTGACCGGAGTAGAATTTGATGTAGCCCAGTTTACATCAAATACCACATCAACTGCCACACTCCCGATCAGCGTGACTTCCGCGCTGAGCGAGAGACCGCAGGCGTCAGTGGGTGCGCATTCCACAGCAGCGGACGCACAAAGGCGCGCATTTTTGTAGCGCCGCGGAACCTACCGTCTCGCCACTGTCGTTCCCTCCTCCTCGCACTCTCTTCGCTGTCTTCCCTTCCATGCTCCGCTTTCTTTTTCTTTCACCCTCATTCGCTCTGCCCATTGTGTCAACATCGACGCCACTCAGGACCACAACAAGCACCTGAGAGCTGCGCTCTAAAACACATAATACTGATAATAATAAGTGTTAGGGTGTAAAATCCCAAAACAAAACCAACATATCATTATGAGAGACTTTGTAGGGGACGGCTCCGGAAATTTTGATCACCTGGGGTTTTTTACCGCGCACCTAAATCTAAGCACACGGGCCTCAAGCTTTCCATCGATAATGCGGCCGCCGTGCCCGGGGATTCGATCCCGCGACCTGCGGATCGGCAGCCGAGTGCCTTAGCGACTAGACCAGCGTAGCGGGTGGGCTCTAAAACAAGACAACATGATACGTACTCCTCCATGTTCCAGTCATGCGTGCTATGCTCATGAGCACAATGAATTAGGGCATTTAATTACGTTTTCATGCTTCAGAATTGCCTTAAATCACTGCAATCACGTTCTAATCACCACACTCCGGCTTGACCAATACGTCGTTTCTTGATTGACATTCTCACAGGAGAGGCGCTGGTCTCCGAGCGTACACTGCGCCGTCGCCGACTCGAGCTCCAGCTGCTGCTCGAGCTGCGCGCGGGCACCGATGACGGCTCGATGAGATGGCCGCTGCACCTGTGGCGCGAGTGTAGTACCACCACAGGAGAACCGCATTCGCACGACGTCCTGCGCACTATATTTGCCATGCACGGGCTGGCTGGCTTTCCTTTCGGTGCGGCCGACCGCCACAGGGACCTCTCCACCACGGCTGCCAAGTACGTTGTTACAGTGAAGCGAAATTTATTTTGAACATCAAGTCAGTCGTAGATGGCAGTCGTAGACGTAGGTCGGTGGACTTCCTCATGAGTCGACTCACTTGGGCTTGCTCAGGCTCAGATCGAGTCGTAAGTCTGAGTCTGGATGAGTCCGGATGAGCAATATATATTTTTTAGTTTGGATCCTTGCAAGTCCGCTTGAAAAAACATTTTGTGAGTGCGAGTTAGAACCCCTCGAAATAGTAAAAAAGAACGCATTATACACACAATTGTGTAGATCACAATTGCAAACACGCGAGCTGGGTTTCGATCAGGGAAAATGCTGTCACAGGCGGCTTAGCAGTACCTTACTGCCTGCGTAAGGTAGTACGTGGTGGATGACACGTAAATCTGACAATGACTACTAAATATACACGTGGTATACACTTTCTATATTCTTTTCATTTTGCATATGTACTTGATGGGCCAACTTGTAATAAGGTCTGGCATTCATACCAGCAGCATTGTAATAGATAAAATAAGTAAACATTACATAAAACGAGAAAAATATTGCTTGAAAAATGATACAACATACAATAAAAACTATCTCGGAAATTATTAGGCAACACTAAAAAAATAAAAATATATACGAAACGGTCATTCCTGAAGACAGTGAATAAGTTAGGGTATGCATTTGTTCCACCCATCGTCCGACGATAAAAAAACAGGGTGCTGTCGCAATCGGCGATCCCAGCGCTCGTCAACATCGAGATAGTCAAGATGGCCGCGGAGGATGTTCCGATGACGGGTGGTCACAAACGCGTTAGCAAGAAGGCCAGGAAGGGCTCCTCGGTGACGGCTGCACGACCTCGTCGACGCTGGGTCATCCGCGTGGGGGCGCCGCAACCACTCTTCCGGGAGTTTGTCAGCATGCGGAACGTGCAGGATGAGTGGTTCATGGCGGCCGTGCAGAGCATCTCCGGTAGACGAGACATGCCATAACTGGTCGAGGTGAGTACGATCCTTCCCACGCATGACGGCTCGTGAATTAACGCTGTGCGCGAGGTTTTGATTGATAAAATAAATTGAGGACACATCGTGTCAGGCTTGTCGGCGTCCTTTAGGACACCCTGCTTGGAAACTGATTACGTCTCAGCCATTCACGTGACTCGAATGACGTGACGTCATATAACTACTGGTCACGAGACATGTTGCCGCAAAAACCTCGTAACAGCTAAGCCGTAATATGTTTTCCGCAAAGAACTACCTAACACCTAGTTGCGTGACATGTTCCCGCACCATCTAACTAGTAAGGTGACGTATTACGTGAAAGCACACGAAAAACTTGGTGTTTGAAGATATATTTACACAGCGCCAACACGCAAGCCAAGATGGAGAACACGAGCTGTGCCCTACACCAAAAAACACATCGTCTTTCTCATCGCCTATCTGACCACTTTAGTGGGACATTGTCTCATGACATAACCCCCGGCTGCTGAAGCACTGTCTCGGTTCTTTCTATGATTTCGCCGAGTGGTAAAGCTTAAGGCGAGATAAATGAACAATGTCTGTAGACAGCGAAGGGGAGGAGAAGGAAGACTTGAGCGGGGCTTTCTCGTAAGTCACATCTATCACCTGGCTCAATACGCGGTAGGGTCCCGAGTAGCGGGAAAGCAGTTTTTCAGGAAGTCCAACGCGCCTAGTCGGAGTCCACAATAGTACAAAAGAACCCGAAGTAAAAGAAACTTGGCGATGATGGGAGTTGTAGCACTGCCGCTGCTGATCTTGCGATGCTAAAAGGCGCTGACGGGCAACTTCTCGTGCATTGCGAGCTCTGGTGATAGCATCGTGGGCGTATTTGGTCGTCGAGTCAACGGCGGCCGGAAAGATGGTGTCAAACGGTAGAGTTAGATTGCGGCCAAACACGAGATAGAAAGGTGAAAGACCAGCTGCATTGTGGCGTGAGGAATTATAGGCGAACGTAACGAAGGGCAATGCAATGTCCCAGTCCTGATGGTCGGACGATACGTACATAGCGAGCATATCAGTTTAAGCCCGGTTGAATCGCTCAGTCAGTCTGTTAGTTTGCGGGTGGCAGGCTGTCGTAAATTTATGTTTTGTCTCGCAGGAGCGAAGCAGGTCGTCGATAACTCGGGATAGGAAATAGCGCCCACGATCTGTGAGGAGTTGGCGTGGGGCGACATGCTGAAGTATGACGTCGTGCGGGAGAAAATCGGTCCGTGGCACAGCTGGTTGGTAGAGCCCATGCAATGGCGTACCGGGTTGTGTGATCCGTTGCAACAGCTATCCACTTATTTCCAGAAGTGGACGCAGGGAAAGGGCCTAGGAGGTCAAGACCAAGTCGTAGGAACGGATCAAAGGGAACGTGAATTGGTTGGAGGAACTCTGCAGGGCTCATAGAAGGTTTTTTTTTTTGCGTTGACACTGGTCGCATGAGGCGACGCAGCTGTGGACCGACTGATAAAGACTGGGCCAGTAAAATCGACGCTCTACACGGTCATACGTCCGAGACTGTCCGAGGTGACCGGCAGTGGGAGCGTCGTGGAGCTGGCCGATCACGCTCGCACGTAAGTGGGAAGGTACCACAAGGAGCAGTTCGTGTTCATCAGGGCGGACGTTGTAACGGTACAATGTGCCATCCTTGAGCACGAACAATGAGTAGACGGATCGGGTGCCGCAGAATGAAGCTTCTCGTTGATGTTACTTAAGACAGGATCTCGGCGCTGCTCCTCACGGATGTTGCTTAAAGCGGAGATACAGCACACATGGCGCTTCATCGAACGCCTCAGGTGGGTCCACTGGATTCCGAGACAAGCAGTCAGCATCATGGTGTAAACGGCCAGATTTGTTGAACACTGAGTAGTTATACTCTTGGAGTCGTAATGCCCATCGACCAAGGCGCCCAGTGGGGTCCTTCAAGCATGCGAGCGCAAAGTGGGTGGTGATCGGTTGTGACGGTGATATGTCGACCATGTGAATAGGGCCGAAATTTCGCTACTGTTGACACGAGAGCAAGGTATTACTTTTCGGTGATTGAGTAGTTCTTTTCCACGTGCGAGAGGGGACGACTGACGTAGGCGATAACGCTGACGCAGCCGCTTTGATGCTGGACCAAAACAGCTCTAATTTCGTGGCCACTGGCATCGGTGGGAAATTCTGGGGGGGGGGGGCGGCATTGTCAAGATGGGCCAGAACAGGTGGTTCTGTTAGCATTGTAATAAATGCAGAGAACGTCATAGCCTGCGCAGCACCCCATGTGAAGGAGACATCTTTTTCCAGCAAGTTTGTGAGAGGACGGGCTACTTCCGCAATGTTGTCTACTAAGAAAAACGTCGAAAGTACGAGCACAGACCGAGAAAGCTGCGGAATTCTTTGGTGCAGATCGGAACAAGGAAGTTCCACAAGTCTCGCACTTTATCGGGATCAGGGCGTACACTAGAGGAGTTGACAAGGTGGCCCAACATGGTTAGTTGCTCGCGTCCGAAGCGGCACTTTGACAAGTTAAGTTTGACACCGGCATTGCGAAAAACAGCCAGTATTGAGGATAGACGGTCGAGGTGGGTCTCAAAGGTCGGAGAAAAGATGATAACGTCGTCAAGGTAACATAGACAAATTGACCATTTGAACCCACGCAAAAGAAAGTCCATCATCCGCCCTAAGGTGGCCGGAGCATTGCATAACCCGAAGGGCATGATCTTAAACTTGTAAAGACCATCGGCCGTGACAAAAACGGTCTGTTCACGGTCCATGTCGTCGACAGTGATTTGCTGTACCCTGATGTTAGATCAATAGAAGAAAATACTTAGCGCTATGAAGACAGTCCAGGGCGTCGTCTATGTGCGGTAGCGGGTAGACGTCTTTTTTAGTGATATTGTTCAGATGTCAAGCGTCAACACAGAATCGCCAAGTATTGTCCTTCTTTTTGACAAGAACTACAGGGGAAGCCCATGGACTGCCCCGCCGTGGTGGTCTAGTGGCTAAGGTACTCGGCTGCTGACCCGCAGGTCGTGGGTTCGTATCCGGCTGCGGCAGCTGCATTTCCGATGGAGGCGGAAATGTTGTAGGCCCGTGTGCTCAGATTTAGGTGCACGTTAAGGAACCCCAGGTGGTAGAAATTTCCGAGCCCTCCACTACGGCGTCTTTCATATACAAATGGTAGTTTTGGGACGTTAACCCCCCATATCAATAAATCAAAGCCCATGGGCTACATGATGGCTCAATTATGTCTCTGGTGAGCATTTTCTCGACTTCTGCTTGAATTATGCGACGCTCGGTTGGAGATACGCGGTGTGGTCATCAATGGACAGGGGAGGCATGACCAGTGTCAATGCGGTGCCTTACAGCAGTAGTTTGACCTAGCGAACGATCAGAAAAGTCAAATACGACCAAGTATGACTCAAGGACGTGAAGGAGTGCGTCAGCTTGATGCGGCAAAATGTCTGACGCGATCATTTTTTAAAACGTCAGCAGACGGGCTTGCTTGCGAAGATCGAGCATCCGTGGAGCTACAGCGTCCAGCATCGTTCGAAGAAAGATCTGAGATGACGCATTCGTCAGATGGAGTCGGCATGGCGAGGGCAACTCTACGCGGGAGCACTTGAGGACACAGAGCAAAGTTGTGCCTAGGAATGCAGGCACGGTTTGCACGTAACAGAATAACAGTGTGTGAGCGCTCGTGCTGTGTGCCTCTTCTTTGCTTTGTGTCTGTGTTTACCCCCGTGCTCCCAGTTCGCTCAACCATCACGGTAACACTGTGTGTCAAGAGAATGGATGTGAAGGGCGCAAGCACATAGTCGCCATCGGATACAGGTGGTGAGGGCGTTACGGTGATGCAAGTCACAGTTTGCGGTGGCAAACGGATGTGCTCAGCAGAGCGAATACGAGCTTTGGGTGGACTGGGCGAATTAATCGGGTACGGTAGGTCAAGTTGCACTGTACCAGCTGAACAGTCGATGAGGTCGGAATGAGTGGACTAAAATTTGAGATAGAGAATCACATCATTCGTGCAGTGAGAGAGAAGAGTGAAGAGAACTGAAGTTTGACGGCCGGCGATAGTAACGTGTCCAGTACAGACGCCAATAACAGAAGCCGTACCACCATCAGTAACACAAACACTGTGTGAAGGGGCTGGAGTAAGGACTTCCCTTAAGTGGTCACGAATGTGCAGGCTCATCACAAACATATGGGCGCCAGTGTCTACCAAGGCTTTAACAGATAAACCATCCACTTAACGTTGATCAGGTTCTGATTGGTGGGGAACGTCAACAGAAGGATCAAGAGCAAGCCGTATCAGCAGCGTCGCCTCCAGGAACTGCAGCCGTTAGTTTTCTGAAGAAACCCGCAGGGCAGAGGATGGGGACGGGAAACGAGGTGGCGGCGTACTTGGACCGGGAAAATCTACGTCGAGGTGAAGGTGAGCGAATGTACTGGGCAGTGGTCGTAGTGGTCGGGTCGTAATTAGCTGAGCCATCACACCGTGGTAGTTCCTGGTCATAGAGATGGGCTGGTGAGTGGAGGTTCGGGAAGCTTGAGTTTGCCCGATACGGTGAAGTCCACGTGCTTCGGCAATGACAGGAAATGTGTCCCACTCGTTCACATCGAAAGCAAACTGGCATGTCATCAGGCGTCCTCCATGCATTTGGGTGACGGTTACGTGGCGAAGGGCGGTGATAATGGTGTAGATGGCTGGAGGTAGATGAACTGACAGCGTCGGGACGATGCACAGAACAAACCGTGTGAATACCCGCGTTGGCTAGTTCTTGGTGAACAATGGTCTGTATTAGCGATATGCTCGGCTGAGGATCACTCGGTGCTAGTGCTTTCAAGGGTGCGGGTGATATGGCCTCGATTAAGCGGCCTACAATTCTCGTGATGTCACTGGAGTGGAAATTGGGGTGGGTCACTATATGGAGATCCTTGCAAGTTGACGTTGCAGCAGTTTTGGGAAGGCGCGTAAAGTGGTGGGCAATGCAATGGCTTTTAGCCTCTTGAAAGCGTTGGCATTCCAAGATGACATCTTGCACGGTGGAACAGCCTTTGCACACAGGAAGGTTAAATGCATCGTCTGCGATGCCGTCGAGCACGTGCGATACCTTGTCGGCTTGAGCCATGGTTCAGTCAACTTTACGGCAAAGGGTCAGCACATCTTGTATATACGCCAAGTAAAACTCCGTGACGTCTGGACACGTACGCCAGGTTCTTTCCTAGCGGCCTGCTTGCAGCCGGCAGATTGACCAAACAACTCGCGTAACTTGGTCTTGCATACGTCCCAGCTCATGGTCGCGTCCACATTGTTATTAAACCATGCTTAGGCCGTTCCTTGCAAATAAAAGATGATGTTTGCCAGCATCAAGATTGGGTCCCACCTGTGGTTTTCGCTGACGAGCTCGTAGAGTTTAAGCCACTCATCCACGTCGTCGCTTTCCGTTCCCGAAAAGTTGCTGGGATCGCGGGTTGGAGCGGCCACGAGAAAAACAGGAGAGGTCGGCGCCGTTGAGGCATTGGGTGCGATAGTTGAAGAAGCATCGCTGCCGGTGGACATGTTGGAAGCAACGAGTAGGTGTCCGCTGCGTAACTCCGTCGTGCGTTGTAGCCCAGCACCTTCCACCAAAAATATTACGTGAAGGCGCACGGGGAACTAGGTGTTTGAAGATATATATACACAGTGCCAACGCGCAAGCCAAGATGGAGAACACGAGCTGTGCCTACGCCAAAATCACGTCGCCTTTCTTGTCACCTATCTAACCGCTTTAGTGGGACACTGTCTCATAACAATATGTTCTAAGTCGAACACTAGTACCATTGCTGGCTCTAGAACTTAGGCCAGGAAGCTGCACACATCTTTTTTTTAATAACAAGTGTGGAACGCTTTATGAACCCGTGCTGTCGTATACTGTCGTCATGGCTTGGCGTAACCTAGACAAGACCATGCATAGAATAGATATTTGTAGCATATTCAATGAGCGCTCGCGCCCGGGAGTTTTCGTTCTCTTGCTCTTCGAGCGCGTTGATGATGATGCCTAGCGAGGAGCACTTTTGCAGTCCGGGCTGTCAAATGCTGTTGTCATTTGACGTAACGCAAGCAGAACCACGTCAAAAAAAGAAAAAAAAGAGGAGCAAGTGACAAGCAAGAAGTCACTAAAAGAAATAAAAAAATAAAGGGAAGCAAAGAAAAAAATAAAGACATGACAATCTGGAAAAAACAAAAAGATACGAGAGAGCAAAGAGAAAAACAAAAAAAGGCTCTCTAACTCCGCACTTACTTAAGGCTTGGCGCCAATAGCGCGTAGCTGCCTTGTGTTGAGAAGCAGCCACCTCTTAAGATATAATCACCGTTGAATAAAATACCTCTTGAGGTATAATATAAGCAATGCCTTTTAGGATATAATTCAGCCCACTAAGATCTAGTTGAAGGCTTACTGTATACACAGCCTATATCTCGGCCCTTGAACACGTCACCCAGAGATGCTCATAACCCACTGCGATATCATCTCTTTTAACAGATCGAGCAGGCGCTAGTCGACCTGGCGGTACAGCATGCGGGCGTCGACGACTACGTGCAGATTCCGGTGGCGCGGTTGCAACACTCGAGCCTGTGGGACTGGACGAGGTTTCTGCGCATCGCATTGCAAGGCGTCACCACCGTCGGAAGACGCACCACGGTGCTGATCAAGGGTGGCTCCTTCCAGCGTCGCTTCAAGCAGATCGTCGACAAGTACGGCTCGGCCAGCCTGCACAACTACCTTGCACTAAGGTGAAGATTTAAAAAAAAATCGCATCATATTCTTTGAGTGAATGATGATTAGTGTGGCGAAGCGGCCATCCGTTCATCCGTCCTTCCGTGCTTCTCTCCGTCCGTGTGTCCATCCCTCCGTTCGTGTGCCCATGCGTCCGTCTACCCGTCCATCTGTCTGTCCGTCCGACCGATCGTCTGTCTGTGCGTCCATCCGTCCATCCAGTGAACACTATCTTGCATTTCTATCTTGCACCCAAGTACCGCTGTCTTGCATTTTGAGACGAGAAATGGTCATCTATTAAACTGTTCGGGAGGTACTGCAGGTTGCGCATGACGCGTGACAAGGTTAGACTAAGAAGAGCTTCGCCCGTAAAAATATACCAGAAAACAGGAGAATCGTGTTCAACGTTTTAACAGCACAGCTGATTATGGTCTATGCAGCTCCTTGGGGATCATCCTGCGCGCCTTCTAGTAAAGTTGCGAGAGTGAAGCCTCACAAGATGGCGAGCGTGGGTGAAGCTAAGAGGGCGAGAGAGAAGCCTAGTGCAGAGAGTTGAGCCTTATAGAGAAAGGGTAGCGACGTGGAGAGGGTGAAGCTTGGCAGATAGGAGAAGAGCAGAGGCGAAGCTGCGGCGGAAGCGAAGCGGATGGTGTGGAGAGAAGGAGAGAGCAGGACTGCGTCGCTTCTGTAGTCTCCTCCTCTCCACAACGCACATTCTTTTTGAAATGCTCGCCTCGCGTCACCTTGTTTGAGCCGATAAAGACCATGCCTAGCATTGTAATACTACCAACTCGCGACGTTAATGCAATGAAGCTGAGTGATTTTTTTTATTTCTTATTCGAATTAAGATAAAAAAAATAAAGTTTAGATGTTTCACTGCCTATGTGGTTGGCATTGTCAATACACAATTGGTATTTATTGAGATACTCCATGCTGTATTCATCTGGTATGTACACATCCAAGATAAATCCAGAGGCAACATCCTGTATGTTTTATCTTCTTTTCATACTTATTGTCATTTGACTACTGAAGATGCCACTCGCACAGGTGGCGAAACATATACATTATGGTATTTTTACTATTACGTGAAGTAAGAGATAAAAACATTGAATAACGTGAGATGCTGCTTAAACAACATGCCATTTTTTTAGATTACTAGAGAACGAAATGTTGCAATGGCAAGATTAGCGGCCCGATCTGTGGGCCCAGACATTAAGCAGCAAGATAAAAAATCACTGCGTGTAAACCAAGTTATCTGTGAATGTGGCGACGTAAGACATTACATTTATTAAATTGTGAGATTTGGTGCGACAATTGAGGCCGATAGGTTTTAATTGCCTGGCGTGCCGACGACAGGGGGGGGGCAGCAGGTTTGGCTTTGACAGTATGTAATCATTTAATGGGTACCTAAAGCAAAGCTAGCGCACTGTTGCGAAATATATGCACACACCCTATTTTCGTATTTACAGGTTCGAGGTTTGCATCACGTCCTTCATTCGAACGGGGCTGAAGCAGTTGCCTGTAAAGCATGCTCTGTCCTATAAATTGTGGGCTGCAGGTGAAGCATAAACGTAGAAAGGAACGTGCGGAGAAGCATAGCTAGATATGGATTGGGAGAGGGGAGAGAAGATACTACTTATTTATTTATTTATTTCATTTATATATAGCAAACTATTTGCCATGTTTTGGTGTTCATATTTTTTGTAAACCTCTTTATGATCAAACTGCCTTTCCTGCAATATTTAGAATATTGCTGTAAAAATTGTTAATACACCCGTGCTAATACATCCCATATTAAAAAGGGTGCAGCAGAAAATCATCATCATAATCACCTTTCTCCGAGCTCTTATTCACTTCCGGAGAAGGAGCGAGTCCACGTGTTTGAGTGCCATGGGAAAGGCTGTGCTTGAACAACTTAGGGCACTTACGAATTATTGACGAAATACCACAAAAACGAAGGCCGTCATGGAAGCAAGAAAAATATGCTTGATACGATAGACATTCAAGTTAAGTGCTAAATATTATTTGATAATTGCCAAATTATAAATAATTGCAACGGCTTAGTGAGTACGAAAAATCGGCAACGTTTGCATCGATTAGTGCGCCCGTGATATGTCTCTCCGCATCTAGAACTTAAGTTGCACGAAAAAACAGCTCCTGAGATATTAATTACTCACGAGTCGCGTTATCAGTCTATGGTGTCACTCAAGCGAAAACACACACGCCGGGTATCCGAGCGCTGCTACGTACTCGTAATACTTCCCTAGGCAAGAACGCGCACACATCATGTACACTAGCTTAGGCAGTGTGCCGTTGCTCTTGCAGCAGTACCGCCTGACAAACCTTTCCTTACACGATGCCCAAACGCATTCTTCCCTCAGTATATTGGTACAAAGTTACATTAGGAGTTTTTTTAATGATGCGTAGAACACTGATGGTGCAAAATGCTATACGTCTTGTACTGTGAAGCTTCAGTGCACGCTTATTAACTCCATGTGTTCTAAGTTATTCGAAGCCGTTTACTACGGCGTTTCACATAGCCTGGGTCGCTTCTGTAAGTTAAACCCCACAAAACAACAAAGCAAGACGGCCTGCTCGCCATTATACCGATACGTATAAGACCTCGCAGTGCCCGTGCAGCGCTCTAGTCTAAATTAGATAAATATGCAGGGAAGTAAGTAAGCGTGCGTGTTGTTGTTGTTGTTCTTCTTCATGATGTTGTTAAGAAGCGCGAGCCCAGCCAGCGTGAAGCAGAAAGAGACGAAGGAGAATAAGAACAACCGGCCTAGCAAACGGGTGTTGTGTCTTATTTCTCCTCTACGGGATGTATGTATGTCGAGACAGAAATACGAGTGTCAGAATCGGCAAAACGCTAAACAAAGAAGGTGAAAAGCAAGACTTCATCGGAGTAGGCAATCATCGTGGCGCAGGATGTACGTGCGGTACTCCCCGTTCCTGGACTGGAAGAAGTACCGGGCGCTGGTGGACGTGGCCACCGCACGTTTACCGGGCTGGGAGGACATTGACCCGCCTGAGCACGGGGCCGAGCTGCGCTGCCTGCGATTCCTGTATCGCCTGGTGGCCGAGCCGTTCACTTACATGATTTGGAACGTCAACATTAGGTAACGACGGTAATAACTCGGAGTCTTTTAGATGTTAAATAGCACATGGCGGAGTTCCATCCAATAGTGCGCACCGTGACCACCCTCACTGTGCGTGTGCAACAGCTGGCCCAAGCACCGTCCGAACGCGCTCAGGTGCTAGCGCGTTTCGGCATGTCTTAAGGTGCTGGGCGAGACGCTGCTGGCTTCTCTCCCTTTCGCTCCCTCATCAATCACGTGATAGCGCCGGGGATTAAGATTCTGCAGACGTGCGATGAGCCCACGGGCTCCCGTGTGGGTTCCTCGCAACAAGAGTTCGGAACGAGTAACAGCACCAGAAACAACAGTGGATTCATGTTGTGCTCCATAGAGTTTCCTATGGTTAATGAGAGGGAACTCTGGCACTGCGATCGTTCAGCGACCATAGGAAGGATGGGTAACACTCGGATTTGCGTCTTCGTGCTTGTGGGCCTCAGACGCACATGTAGCTTTGTTTATTGCTGTGTTTTGGTTTCGTTTTCAATGAAAGAACGGATGGTTATAAATTTCGTGAGCCGACTTGAAATGTTGAGCGTAAAAAGAGAGAGAGAGTGAATAAATTGAGAGAAAAGCAGGGAGGTCAACCAGAATTATAGCATACGGTTCACATATAATGTTAAAGTTCTGAAGTGCAGCTGTGGAATATTTCCCGATTGTAGCCAAGCGCAACTGCTGAACATTTCCTTATTGTCGTTTCGTAACAAAGCGAGTTTAAGTCACGCGAAGTCAACCGAATTCGAAAGTACAACAGTTAGACAAATCCGTGCAATACGCATCATTCTCATGTTCGCTGAAGCTCCGTGAGTTAAGCTCGAATAGTCACCAGTGCCAGTGTTTTCTCTCGAGCATTAGTAGGAAACTCTATGGCGTGCTCCACTTGCAAGGATGCGTTAACATCGCGCAAGCTGTCTCTGATGAACGGAACATTAAGGTGACCCATGCGCGTCTTCACATTCTATTCAGTGTTCCCTCTAGTGAGAGACGGCGTAATTCCTGCCACAACGAGCTGTGGTTGCTCGTGCGCACGAACTTATCTCGTAAATGGGGCGCTTTGTCTCATTTGTCGATTCCACCGCAAGTTTTCTTCCACGTTACAGCGCAAAAGAGAGCGTGAAGGTCGCTTCGCTGGCGGTCGCGGCCGCGTATTTGGAATTGCTGTCCCCGCATTGCACAAAAGAGGGAAAAGAAAGAGTGCGAGGAGGACGCCAGTGTCAGAATTGCTCGCGCGCTATTGGTTCCTCTCTGTAGGGGACGTGCACGCCTGTAGGTGACATACTGGTGACGCACGCACGTGCCCGCGATGGAATGTGCGGAGTTTTTCCGGCTGTTCTATTGTAGGGAAGCACCCACAACCTGCCGCCACACTCTTTCTCTACGTTTTCCTTCTGCATTTCTGCATATCTCTTTCCCTCTCCCTGTAAGAGCTGAACCGAACCGTGCTACCCGCAAGAGTTGTGGAAGAGTGACTTTTTTGTTTTGTTTTATTCAATCAACCACTACATCATACGCGCCACTGCTGGCATGGTCGACGCTCATGTGCGAATTAAAGTTCGAAATTACCATCTAACGTTCAATCACATGAATCGCACTTCTGTCACACACGATACTAGTTCCAACTGCCCTTGCAGAAACGTGATTCCGACTATCATGGCAGACGCCCAGACGCTCACGTCTGAATTAGACGCCAACACATCAAACGTGAAGCGTGTTTCGGTCAATGACGCGGTTGCGAATGACATGAAAGCCTCGCGCACATTTACGTGCGAAAAAGATGCCAGTTCCGCCGGCCCATCTGACGTGAAGTGCCTCCTCGTCGACCTTTGCAAGAATGGAGGCGCACGAGTGGCTCGCCAGCTACGGCAAAGCAACTAATAGGACAAT